GCGACCCCTCCTTGGGTTTCCCAGGCAGTATCACAACGGAAGTAGATTGCCCCATCTTCCTTCAGAGGAGTGGCTGATGGGTTTGAACTGACAGCCTTCTGGTTAGCAGTCAAGTGCCTTAGGCACTATGCTACCAGAGCTCCCATAATATATTATATATATATAAATGAATATAAACTCACTGCCATCAAGTCAGTTCTGATATAAGCTCTGGTGGTGTAGTGCCTAAGGCATTTGACTGCTAACCAGAGGAGGGGTCGCTATGAATCAGGAATGACTCCATGGCAGTGAGCTTTTTTTTTGGGGGGAGGGTGTTTATCCCAGACTAGAGCTGAAGAAGCCAGCAACCCAGATACACCAATGGTTGCACACAAAAAAACCCCAACAAAAGCCTCCTCTCTCTAGCCAAAGCTTTAGGAAAGGGTAGCCTAACAAGACAAAAAATTTTTAGACAGTAACTGTTCTACTCCAGCCAAACATTAAAAAAAAAAAAAAAAAACCACCAACAACTGTGGCCCAACATCCATGCATGCCCCAGCAGAGACTGAGTAAGGATCCCAGACATACACTCTGGGGAGGCTGTAACAAAGTGCCCTAGTACCCTTGCTGAGGTGCTATCAGAGAAGACCACAACATTCATTTCAGACTGGTAATGACTCATACTCCTCTGAAGACACTATGGAGAGATAGGACTCCCATCCAGTCTAGCAGTAACAAGACCCCACTTGCTGGTATCAACAGAGGCTAACTGGCTCTAACATACAGCCTATGTTCACATCTCAGCTGTACCACCAAGTAGCTGTGTGACCTAATGGCACTGAATATCTATATGCTTCTGTTTCTCTCCTATAAAATGAAATCAGGAGCTAACCACATGGATATTTGAGGCCTGCATGTGTTGATGTTAAGTGTTTTCAGGACTTGGGGAAACTCCGTGTTCTGTGGGTGCAAGTGTCATTGTGAATGAAATATCTCCCTCTCCCTTAGATCATCTAACTGGATATTGATTATCTATACAGAATCTATTGATCCCTAGAACACTTAAAACTCAATAAACCTTAATTCATGTATTTAAAAATTAAGCCTGAAATGTAGGTTAGGAAAACAATCAAAATATGAACTAGGGACAAAAGTAACTCAAAAGGTTAGATGAAAAGCTAAGGGGGCAATGAGATTATGCTAATGGTGGCAAAACAATTTAGAAAAGTATAGCAAGAATGGTTGCACAAACAACAGGAGACAAAGTTAGGATAACTTCTTAGCCACAACCAAGTACCTTGATAGAGTGAGTCACTGGGCCTGCAGGCCCAGGACTATGGTTGCAAGGGACATCAAGCTCAACTGGCACAACACAGTACATAAAAACACTGTTCTACATCCTACTTAAGGCGCTCTAGTGGCGTAGTGCCTAAGGCATTTGACTGCTAACCAGAAGGTTGGTGGTTCAAACCCACTAGCCACTCCATGGAAGGAAGACTAGGCAATCTACTTCCATAAAGATTTACTGCCTCAGAAATCGGAAACCCAATAGGGGTCTCTATGACTCAGAATCAACTTGATGGCAGTGAGTTTTTCTTTTTTTTTTATCGACGTCCTACTTTGGTAGGGTCTTAAAAGCTTGCAAGTGGCCATCTAAGATGCAACTATTATTCTCGCCTCATCTGGAGCAAAGAAGAATCAAGAAAATAAAAAATTAGTTCAGTGAGTTAATGGACCATGGAAACCTCAAGCCTACATGACCTTGAAACCAGAAAAACTAGACGGTTCCTGGCCACCAACCACTCAAAAAGGGTCAAAACTGGAAATCCTAGACAGAGTGGGAGAAAAATGTGGCACAAAATTCAAAAACATAAAAAAGACCAGGATTACTGGTCAGAAAGAGACTGGTAAACCCTCTAAGACTATCACCCCAAGTCACCCTTCAGGCTTGTAATTGGACTTACTCCTGTGGCTTAACTCTCAGCCAAACAACAGACAGGGCTATAAGCTGAACACTTAGATCATGGGAGATGCATTGCTTAGAACAATCAACCACGGGAGATCAGGAGGGAAGCATTTGCTCAGTGAGAAAGCTAGGGAGGCAGGAACGCACAGGCAAGAAGGACACAGGGCAAGGGTAACCACAGGGAGGAAGTGGGAAGAGGGTTGTTACATTGTGGGGATTTTAATCAGTGTCACGAAACAAAATGTGTATGAACTTTTGAATGGAAAATTTCATCTGAATCACAATAAAAAGTTAAATAAATAAGTAAAA